CCAGTGCTGCGTGCCGGGCAGTACCGTCACAAAAAAGCCCTGGTTATGGGCACATGCCATCTTTCACCCCAGGATATCGGAGCAGCTGGCGTGTGCCATACATGCAGCGCCCTGCAGATGCAGCTGTCTCTGGAGCGCAGGTCCGGCACTGACACCCTGCACCACCCAAGGGAGGAAGGGACATTTTGTGCAAGGACAGTTGTGTTACCGCGCTGCGTTGTGGCTGCCAGCAGCGAAGTCAAGGCTCTCATTTCCCCACCAGCCAGCAGTGTTAGGAAATGGCTCTTTGCAGCAACTGGCTTTGAGTCAGGGCAGGACATGGCCAGGCCCCAGCCCTGGGCAGTGCGCACCGTAGCAGCACCGCTCCTGAGAGCCTAGACCCAGCGCATGAGCTCCTGAGGGCAAGGCTGCACTCCAGAGACCCTCAGGCACGTGGCGGGCCGGCCACGGCAGGAAGGACACTGCTGTAGCATTAAAAACCAAGTTGTCCTGTAGCACCTTCGAGACTAAGATAGAGACAGAGAGTCTCTGGGCACAGCCCGCGTCCTCCAATGGGAGGTGCATGTCTGCGTGAGGCTCCCTGTGCCAACCTGCCAGCAGCGCCGCCCAGACGCCCCCCAGGCCATAGGGCCGTGTCAGGTCAGACCAGGGCTCAGCCTGGCATGGGAATGGAATCCCGGCATCCCTGGCCCAGCAGCCAGGAGTGGAGCTCGTGGAGCCACAGTGACACCTAGCGAGGCTGCTGGGCCAGGATAAAAGAGGAGAAGGAGGAGGAGGAGGAGGAGGAGGAGAAGGAGGAGGAGGAGGAGGAGCGCCTGCGTCTGCTGCCTGGCAACCCGGCATCAATCAGGAGCAACGCAGCTGGCTCTGCAAATCAGGAGTAACCAGCTCCCCGCTCATTCACACTGAGGGGAATCTGGAGTGTCCCCCCCCCATTGATCCCGGCTCCGCTCATTCACACTGGGGTGAATCAGGAGTCCCCCCCATTGATCCCGGCTCCGCTCATTCACACTGGGGTGAATCAGGAGTCCCCCCCATTGATCCCGGCTTCCCGCTCATTCACACTGGGGTGAATCTGGAGTCCCCCATTGATCCCGGCTCCGCTCATTCACACTGGGGTGAATCAGGAGTCCCCCCCATTGATCCCGGCTTCTCGCTCATTCACACCGGGGTGAATCTGGAGTCCCCCCATTGATCCTGGCTCTGCTCATTCACACTGGGGTGAATCTGGAGTCCCCCATTGATCCCGGCTCCGCTCATTCACACTGGGGTGAATCAGGAGTCCCCCCATTGATCCTGGCTCTGCTCATTCACACTGGGGTGAATCTGGAGTCCCCCATTGATCCCGGCTCCCCGCTCATTCACACCGGGGTGAATCTGGAGTCCCCCCATTGATCCTGGCTCTGCTCATTCACACTGGGGTGAATCTGGAGTCCCCCCATTGATCCTGGCTCTGCTCATTCACACTGGGGTGAATCTGGAGTCCCCCATTGATCCCGGCTCCCCGCTCATTCACACCGGGGTGAATCTGGAGTCCCCCCATTGATCCTGGCTCTGCTCATTCACACTGGGGTGAATCTGGAGTCCCCCCATTGATCCTGGCTCTGCTCATTCACACTGGGGTGAATCTGGAGTCCCCCATTGATCCCGGCTCCCCGCTCATTCACACCGGGGTGAATCTGGAGTCCCCCCATTGATCCTGGCTCTGCTCATTCACACTGGGGTGAATCTGGAGTCCCCCCATTGATCCTGGCTCTGCTCATTCACACTGGGGTGAATCTGGAGTCCCCCATTGATCCCGGCTCCGCTCATTCACACTGGGGTGAATCTGGAGTCCCCCCATTGATCCTGGCTCTGCTCATTCACACTGGGGTGAATCTGGAGTCCCCCATTGATCCCGGCTCCCCGCTCATTCACACCGGGGTGAATCTGGAGTCCCCCCATTGATCCTGGCTCTGCTCATTCACACTGGGGTGAATCTGGAGTCCCCCCATTGATCCTGGCTCTGCTCATTCACACTGGGGTGAATCTGGAGTCCCCCATTGATCCCGGCTCCGCTCATTCACACTGGGGTGAATCTGGAGTCCCCCCATTGATCCTGGCTCTGCTCATTCACACTGGGGTGAATCTGGAGTCCCCCATTGATCCCGGCTCCCCGCTCATTCACACCGGGGTGAATCTGGAGTCCCCCCATTGATCCTGGCTCTGCTCATTCACACTGGGGTGAATCTGGAGTCCCCCCATTGATCCTGGCTCTGCTCATTCACACTGGGGTGAATCTGGAGTCCCCCATTGATCCCGGCTCCGCTCATTCACACTGGGGTGAATCTGGAGTCCCCCCATTGATCCTGGCTCTGCTCATTCACACTGGGGTGAATCTGGAGTCCCCCATTGATCCCGGCTCCCCGCTCATTCACACCGGGGTGAATCTGGAGTCCCCCCATTGATCCTGGCTCTGCTCATTCACACTGGGGTGAATCTGGAGTCCCCCCATTGATCCTGGCTCTGCTCATTCACACTGGGGTGAATCTGGAGTCCCCCATTGATCCCGGCTCCGCTCATTCACACTGGGGTGAATCTGGAGTCCCCCCATTGATCCTGGCTCTGCTCATTCACACTGGGGTGAATCTGGAGTCCCCCATTGATCCCGGCTCCCCGCTCATTCACACCGGGGTGAATCTGGAGTCCCCCCATTGATCCTGGCTCTGCTCATTCACACTGGGGTGAATCTGGAGTCCCCCCATTGATCCTGGCTCTGCTCATTCACACTGGGGTGAATCTGGAGTCCCCCATTGATCCCGGCTCCGCTCATTCACACTGGGGTGAATCTTCTTTAGAGGTCAGCATTGGCCTCTAGCCATAAGCCTGTCTGGAATCACTCCCCTGCCTAAGCCTTCCTTGGGGCAGAGCTGTGAGGTTGTGCAGCCAGTGGTGAGTGCCCGTTCATTTTCCAGGGCAAGCAGCAGAGGGCACAAAGGCCCTGCCCTGTCCAGCGAGGTGTGCGTGCCAGAGCCCTGGGGCCCGACCTCCCCTGGCTCAGGCATTAGCAGCAGCCCTGGCCATGCTGTGCGGAGCCTCCCTAGCGCCCCGGGGCCATGGGCGCGGGCTTGGGCAGACCACGGCAAGCTGAGGAATGCTTTGAAAGGGACATACATTGGGGCATTCCCAGGCCTCTGCGAAAGCCGCGTGGGCTGGGCCTGGCCCCAGCTCCAGATCACCCAGGCTGTTGGGGTGTCACTGGGCTCAGCTTTGTGCCATAAACTCTTGTTCCTTCTTTCCTTCCTCCCCCTCTCTGTCCCCTTGTCCCTCCCCGCCCTCCCCCTCCTCCTCTGCCACAGGCTGCCAAGCTGCCAATGTCCATCATCATCGTGGGAGTTGGACAGGCCGAATTTGACGGTGAGCCCCCTTCTCTTGCCTGTGCTTACCCCAGCTGGCACTTGTCCAGGTGTGGCGGGATGGCTGTGTGCCTCCGGCATCAGCCCCAGGGCCAGTCAGAGAGCACCCCCGCCCCGAGCCAGGCCCCCGGCCCCCATGCACTGTGTGGGGCTGGTCCCCTTCCATGTCTCCTGACGGAACCACCTGTCGGGTCAGGAGCAGCCTGGGCCACCCCATGAGTTGAGCCCTGTTCCCAACCAGGCAGGGGTGTGAAAGCAGGTCTCCCCGCTACGGGCCATGGGACCTGCCCCCCTCTCTCTTCCATGTGCCGTGGGGGAAGGGAGTCGGTCTGGCAGGCATGCTCTGAGCGCGCCTATTGGATGGGCCCCGGGCAAGGTGGGAGGGCTGATGCCTAGTTTGAGAATCCTGCCAGGGCTTAGGGGTGAGCCAGGCTGCCCGGCAGCTCAGCGGGGTCAGGACTTTGTGCGCGGTGTGGGTGGGGCCATGGGCACCGGCAGGATTTCCTGGCAGACATGGGGGTGTGGCTGGGGCTGCTGAGCAGGAGTTCGAGGATCTGTGACCTCCAGGGCTGCCATTGGCCAGTGCTCACCAGGACAGTCCAGTTTTGGCTTGTGTCTCCAGGTTTGACAAGCTCTGATGTTCAATTTGTTTGATGTGGGGGGAGAGGTGGGGCAGGTGTGGGGTCTGGGGGGGAGAGGTAGGGCAGGTGTAGGGCCTTGCAGGGAGAGGTGGGGCAGATATGCGGTATTGGGGGGAAAGAGGGGGCAGATGTGGGGTCTGGGGGGAGAGGTGGGGCAGGGGGAGGGCCTTGTGGGGAGAGG